CCCCCCCCCCCCCCCCCCAAGCTTGGCTCCTCAAAGCCAGGGTTCACCGAGGCCGCGCACGAGGTCTCCAGCAGAGGGCGCCTCCTTTCCTCGCCTACCCTCTCTATTGTCTGGCTGGCTTGTGCTGCGCCGTCGCTTGCTCTCCTCTTTGCACACACAGCTTGCTTGGCTTTCCTGCTCTGTGGGAATTTGCAGCTCGGCGGTTGAATTCACGAGCCATCTTCCGAAAAGACCCCCCACCCCCACCCTTTCCCTGTAGCTGCTGATGCTTGGATTTTAATGCCAGATGCCCAAGGATTAGCAGATCACCCAGAGGAGAGCTACCCTGGAATTATCCCAGGAAGAGGCGGAGGAGACGGGGAGGGAGAGCGAGAGCGAGGCATTGTGGAATTGAGAGAGAGAGAAGCAGGCGAGGCGGAATAGTATCGCCTGGGAGCTGCTACAACAGAAAATTGCTGCGGAAACGCCAGGTAAGAAACGGACCCGCGGCGGGGCGTGGGCCGGGGCTGCGCGCTTGGGTGGGATTGACCAGGGAAAGCGATGGGCGCAGCTGGACCCGCGCGAGGGGGAAAGGAAGCCAACCTCCAGCTTGCAAACGGGAGGAAGGAATAGCGAAGGCTTCCACCGCCGCCGCCGCCGCCTCAGCCTTGGGTGTAGCACGGCGGTAAAAGCGCTGGAAGGCAGATCGCAGGCATCGAGGCTGATCGTGGTCTGCGGGAGAAAGGGTTTTAAACCGAGGGGCGGAGGGACATCCTGGTAAGCAATTCCTCGAATAATCCCGCTTCCCTTCTCTCTTCCCCCCCCTCCTCTCCCCCGAACCCGGTTGCGGCGGTATCACTTCCAATCTAAAGCCAAAGCTGGCTTTGAGTTAATCTTTCCCTTGGGGAAGAAGGCTTTCGGTGGCTTGAGCGCCATGTGCTCGGCGGCGAGAGAGATTCCCTTGGAAAGGTTCGCCTCGCGTGCCATCTTGCATCTGGACGAAACGCCCTCGGCAATAATAGCAAAGAAATATGTATATCGTCGCATCTGTCTCTCCATCTATGTGGGAGAGGGGACCTCCAAAGGGGTGAGGGGTGTGTGTGTGTGGGGTGTTGGTCGTGGGTAGAAGGGAGTCCAGTACCTCGGACATGGACAGCAGTTTCGGTCTTCTACTAAACTTTCCCCTACGGGCTTGGGGGGGGTCCAGTATCTTTCTGGCCAGCAGTCTTCGGAAAGCTGCCCTAACGCAAATCCTAACCCCAATCAAGTACATAGCTGAGGTATGGACAAGATTTCTTTCAGCAAGAAAGCGAGGAGAGAGTTCTGTTCCTAAAGGTATACACATGGATTGTTTGACTCTCAAGGGAGTTTGTTGTTTGCTTTCTTCAAAGTCGGGGTGGGGGAAAAAGGGCAAGAAATCCTCCCATCCCTTGGGATATCCATGGCCAGGGACATCAGCCTTGTTAACATTCTTCTTTCTTTGTCTGCCTGCGAGTGTTTCGAATTCTGCTGTCTGCGTTGGACAAGATTTCTTTCAGCAAGAAAGCGAGGAGGGAGTTCTGTTCCTAAAGGTATACACATGGATTGTTTGACTCTCAAGGGAGTTTGTTGTTTGCTTTCTTCAAAGTCGGGGTGGGGGAAAAAGGGCAAGAAATCCTCCCATCCCTTGGGATATCCATGGCCAGGGACATCAGCCTTGTTAACATTCTTCTTTCTTTGTCTGCCTCCGAGTGTTTCAAATTCTGCTGTCTGGCTGTGTTTTAAAAGCCTAGCCACTTGTGTTCAGAAAAAAGTAAGGAGCTTATGATTTCTGTATGTAGACTGGTTATATGTCATTTATAGGGATCATAACGTTAATCCTGGTTAAAATGATGAGCAGGAAAGCCAGACCTTCATTAGAGAGGTATTTCTGTTGTTTCTCTTTAGACAGAGGCTGTGGGGTGAAGGGGTCTGACCTACTAAGAGTGATCATTTGGGGACTTGGCATGAGGCCCTTTAGAGTGCATTTAATTCATCCCACCCAAGCCTTGTCTTGTTTTGCCATTTCTTAAAATACTACAACTTTTCAAGGAAAAAAAACACACCTTCAGTTTGGAAAAAGAGCTGTGTGTTTAATGGGCTGATTAAAAAGTCTGCTATTCTGTGGTATTGCAGGCAGCGGGCCTTTTTGAGAAAGACTTCCCCCTTATTAGCCATGAAAAGTAATCCACCTCAAACTGTGGAACTGTTCCTCAGTTACAACTCTAGTGGCCTTGGACTTCAGTAATGGTTTAAAAACAAGCTGCTTGTGACTGCATTAGAGAATGATCTGCAGTGCTTTCCTGTTCCATGGGAGTCTATGCCAAAGGTAGGCTGTTTTAAAAACTAAAGGCGTACTGTATTTAAATAATCCCAGTAAATGTAATGAGTGTATGGTTGATGTGGCTGCTGGAATAATTGGAGGCTTTGCTATTGATTCTCAGTAGCCTACAGAGAAAGCCAATGACATTAGTATCCCTGCATTATTATTATTATTTTTCATTTTAAAGTCAGCAACAGATTTGTCTGCACTGAAATCTGATTGGCAGGAAAGAATGTCCAGCATAACTAGTAAAGCTGTACAGGTCAGGGCTCATTAGCTGCATTACCATGGATTTGTCCAAAACAAAATACATTGCATGGTTAAGATTAGCCTGAATCATTGTGTGCATTCCAAAAGACAGTGATAGATCTTTGTGCTAAAGTTGAGTCAATATACCAGGACCAGGATATGGCAGGCTGTATTTCACATACCTTTTGAAATATACAATACGATGAATATATTTTTGGATGCCTGAAACTATGATCAACTGTTTGACATGGTAGGCTGTATTTCACATACACTTTGAGTACTTTGGGGAAGGGCTCAGTGAGAGAGCAAATGCTTTACGTACATATAGTCACTGTTGTAGCCCTTGGCAGGTCCAAATAGGCCTGGGAAACTCTCTTTTCTAAAACTCTTGGAGGGTGATTATGATTACCCTGCAGCCTAGTGGTCTCCAAATTTCAGTCTCCAGATGTTGAAGTAGACCTCAAATCCTTGACCATTAGTCATGCTGGCTTCTGGGAGCTGAACAACATATGGGGACCAAGGATGGCAGGCCAGTGGGAGAAATTTCAGTCTCCAGATGTTGAAGTAGACCCCAAATCCTTGACCATTATCATGCTGGCTGGGGCTTCTGGGAGCTAGCTGAACAACATAGGGGGACCAAGGATGGGAGGCCATTGGGAGAGAGAGTGATGGGAGTGATGGGTTAGATGGACCATTGTCTTGCTTGGTATAAGACAACTTTATACACGTTAAGGCTAGAACAGAAAAACAATGATAAATAGAGGTTGCAGTGAGGAGGGTCCATGGTTACTTACTCTAAAAGTAGCCCCAAAGAGTTTTTGTAGACATTACTCTTACTTGGGCATTCAGAGGGTGGTCCTTCACACAGCGATGGAGAGTAGGGTCAAACTATGCTGCTCACACTCCTGCTGTTAATGAATGACAGAGGGCCAACATGAGACATCAGCATAACAGCAAAATCATTTGTAGAAGTGAAAATGACACACACATAACCCTATTTCCCCAAAAATAAGACTTAACCTGAAAATAAGCCCTAGCATGATTTTTCAGGATGCTCGCAATATAAGCCCTACCCCCAAAATAAGCCCCAGTTAAGTGAAACCCTGCCCTCCACCATTGTGCAGCATTGTGCAACAACCAGAAGAAGATGATATGACTGTATTTGAATAAATATAGATTGTTGTACATGAAAATAAAATAAAACATCCCCTGAAAATAAGCCCTAATGCATTTTTGGAGCAAAATATAATATAAGACCCTGTCTTATTCTTGGGGAAACACAGTAGTTGCACAAATTCTGGGCCTGCCTTCTGCATGTATACACATGGATACCTGGGGAGGGGTTACTGTGTCAAGCAGCTCATGCTGTGCAGGTGGGTATGCAATGAAGCCTCCCCTCCCATGGTAATATAACTGGCTTTTGAAGTCCTGAATATGGCTGCTGGGTGGTAATAGTGTTATAGATTTTGATCCTAAGTACAGGCTTCTGCCCATAGCCTGTTTAAATAGATCATAGTTGGTACCTGGTATATATTCAGTATTCTTATTCAACAAGCACCTGTAAATAGCTTGGGGGTGAATAGATGGAGTGCCTGTCCTGGCATCGCAGATGGCAGAAACTAAAGATGAAACACGAAGGAATGAGGTTATGAATATTAAGGGCAGAAAGGGAAAGAGAACCATATGACCTACATACCATTTCTATTACAGGGCTTTATTTAAAAATAAAAATTGCCCAGCACCAGTCTGACACAGGAACCAGGGAGAAGTTCTGGGACACCTTGCCTGAATGGTATTGTCCTTGCAACTCTTTATTTCCAATTATTATGAGGCGGAAGTTAGAGCTTAAAAAAAGAAAGATACAGTAAGTACTCCCTGGAAAAGACCCTGATGTTGGGAAAGTGTGAGGGCAAGAGGAGAAGGGGACGACAGAGGATGAGATAGCTGGACCGTGTCATTGAAGCTACCAACATGAATTTGACCCAACTCCGGGAGGCAGTGGAAGACAGGAGGGCCTGGCGTGCTCTGGTCCATGGGGTCATGAAGAGTTGGACACGACTTAGCGACTAAACAATAACAGGAAGTACACAATGTGTGTCCAGTGAATTGACTTGGGTATCCATATTTTCATCAGGCACAAAAGCCTTTTCCTGTAGTCTGGAAGTAGTATGTTCATGGCTGAATGAAGATGTGTATGTGAAATGTAAGAGTGTGATGCTCACTTCAGGAAAGAAGTTGATCCTCTGGCCTTGGTTAAGGAAGTAAACTAGGAACACGAATTTGCCAGGTGTATAATCTCTTCAGCAGATTCCTTTTGAACTGTTCTCCCTGGTGGAGACATACTTGGCTCCTATCATGCCCCATCTCTTCTTGTTATGTATTTAAAGGAACACTAAAAGCACGTGTTTTTGCCACTATGTGCATTGATATTGCCAAGAAAGGTTAGGCCTGGGAAGGATGAATCCTCACTCACAACTTGGGAAAGTAGCCATGCTGACTGAGGAATTCCAGGAGTTGTGATCCAAAAAAGGAATTTTTCCAGGCTGTGCACTAGCTTTCCCAAGGTTATGTGCTGTCTTCTTGGACATTTGGTTAACACAAGCAAAGCAAATCTTGTGTCCTCTCTGTGTTTGGTACACCGTTGCATATGGAATCTTCTGGTGCAGCCTTTCCCTCTTTGGCCACCTCCATAAATTTTGGATTAAAACTCACATCTGCCTCAGCCACCCGGGAACAATAGTCAGAAATTAATGGAACTGAGGTCCAAACATCCGAGAGGTGCCGTGGATCAGAAGGTGTTGCTTGCGTGCAAAGTACCTCCTTATGCAAAGCAAATTGGCAGTCACTCCTGCATTTGTGGCCCTTTCTTATCAAGCCATCAAGATTACATAAATCATTGGG